CCCCAGGGTGGCTGTGCCCTGTCCCTGTCCCAGTGTCCCTGTCCCAGTGTCCCTGTCCCCCCCAGGGTGGCCGTGCTGCGCTGGGAGCCGCCGCAGTTCAGCTCTCCGGGCCGGGAGCTGCTGGGCCGGGGCTCGCTGGCCCGAAGGCACCTGCGGGCAGCCGGCTTCCTGCTGGCCGAGGTGAGCGCCCGGGCACGGCCTGGGCATGGCCCGGGCACCCCCTGGGCACCCCCCGGGCACCCGGCAGCACCGGCGGGTGCCCAGCGCTGCCACATCCCCGTGGCACCCGAACCCTCCCAGCCCTTCCCAGGAGAAATGTTCCCAAAAACGTTCCCCGGACGCCCCCTGAGCTCCCTCCCGGGAGCGGAGCCCGGCCCCCACCCCGTGAGGTGCCCCCAGACTCGGGGCGGCCTCACCTGTGCCCAGCCCCGGGGACGTTCCCCGTGCCACCCCGGTGACCCCGGCGGGTGCCAGTGTCCCCCTGGCACACCTGGGCACGGCTGGCTCCGCCGGGATGGGGGCACCGACTCCAGCCTGAGCCCGGGGCTCAGCAGGGATGAGCCACCGTGATCCCCCCGGGCCACCTGCCAGCCGCCGGGGGGACAGGGGTGACAGGGAGGTGACACAGCCGAGCTGATCCTGTGGGGTCATCCGGGATTAACCCGGGTAATTATAGCCCGGGGGGAGCGTGACGGCCACGTGCCAGCCCCGGGTCACTGCCAGCCCCTGCTCTCCCTGGCAGTGTCACTGTCACGCCTGGCGGGCGGTGGCACCCCAGATTGGCGCTGGGAGCCTCGGGGGTGCCACGGCGTGGGGCCGGGAGGGGACAGGCGGGCCCCGGGGCTGCTGTCACCCCCTGTCCCCCGCAGGTGCCCCACCACGAGTTCCTGGAGCTGAAGCTGGAGCGGCAGCGCGTGGCCTACCTCAAGGACAAGGTGGCCAAGGTCCTGGCCAGTGACACGGCCGGTGACACGGCCACCGACGCGGCCACCTAACCCGCCCTCCAGGTGCCCGCGTCCCTGTGCCAATGCCAGCAGGTCACCACGCCCAGCCGGCCCAGCGCTGAGCCCAGGTGGCCATGTCACCACAGCCAGGTGGCCACGTCACCGGGCCACCGTGCCCGGGTGGGCACGTCCCCACGGCGAGGTCCCCGTGTCCCCGCAGTGCTGCTGCCCATGTCACCAACGGCTCAAATAAAACCTGAACTGTACAGGGACAGGGCACTGGGGATGGGTGACACTGGGGATGGGTGGCACAGGGGACGGGTGGCACTGGGGATGGGTGACACTGGGGATGGGTGGCACTGGGGATGGGTGACACTAGGGCTGGGTGGCACTGGGGCTGGGTGGCATTTGGGACATAACCTCAGGGATGGGTGTCATAGGAGACTTTGGGGACAGTGGGGATGGCTGGCATTGGAGATGCGTGACATTGGGGACAGTTGGCATCAGTGCCAGGTGGCACTGGGAGCGGGTGACACCCAGGCTGGGTGGCACTGGGACAGGTGACGTGGGAGCAAAGTGACATCTGTGGCAGTTGGTGTTGGGGATGTGACATGGGGAGTGACATGGGAGCTGGGTGACATTGGGGCCGGGTGACAATGGGTCTGGGTGGCATTGGGGGTGGGTGACATTGGGGTGACAGCAAGGACAGGTGACAATGGGGCTGGGTGACATCGAGGCTGGGTGACATTGGGGCTGGGTGACCTTGGGGTGTGTGACAGCAGGCACAGGTGACCTCGGGGCTGAGTGCCATCGGGGTTGGGTGGCAGTGGGTGGCTGGCAGTGGGGTCAGTGCCATCGGCGTTGGTGGCACGTGGCTGTGCCCGCGCCCCCCGTGTCCCCCGTGTCCCCCGCCGGGGCCGCCGCTCTGAGCCGGGATCGGCACCAGGAGCCGCCGGCCTTGATTCCCGATTATCCCGGGATTGTCCCGGGGAACGGGGACAGGGACCGGGGTGAGCACCGGGACCCCGGGGGGACGGGACAGGGACCGGGGGCGGCACCGGGACCCCGCACCCGGGGGTGTCTCTGAGCGGGGGGGTGACATCCCGGCCGGAGCCCCATCAGTGACCCACAGGCCACCGCACGGGGCGGGGGACAAAGGTGACCTGGGACAGGCCTGGGGGGGACAAAGGTGGCTCGGGACAGGCCTGGGGGTGACAAAGGTGACCTGGGACAGGCCTGGGGTGACAAAGATGACCTGGGACAGGCCTGGGGTGACAAAGGTGACCTGGGACAAGCCTGGGGGGGACAAAGGTGGCTCGGGACAGGCCTGGGGGTGACAGAGGTGACCTGGGAGCAGTCTGGGGCTGACAAAGGTGACTTGGGACCAGCCTGGGGAGGACAAAGGGGCCCGGGACAGGCCTGGGGTGACAAAGGTGGCCCGGGACAGGCCTGGGGTGACAAAGGTGGCTCGGGACCAGCCGGGGGTGACGCACCGGGGCCGGGAAGGGCCGGGGGGACACACGGGGCGGGCGGGAGCTGCTGAGTCACCGCCGGGGCCGTGCCTGGCACCGGCAGGCGGGCACGGCCGGCCGCGGGGACAATGCCCGCCCTCATCCCGCACCCCCGGGGCTCCGCGACACGCGGGGGGACACGCGGCTCCCTCCCGCCCCGGTGTCACCGCGCGGGCGCTTCGGGGGGCTCCGCCCTGCGCCCCCTCCCCAGTCCCCCCCAGGGCACCGCGGGATGCTCATCCCCCTTCTTTGGGAGACAAAGTGGGGAAACTGAGGCCGGCCCCGCCCTCGCGCCCCCCCCGGAGCTGATGCAAGCGCTGGGTGGGCCCGGAGCCCCCTCCCCGCCCCGCCGCAGCGCCGCCGGCACGAAGCGTCTATCGCGACAGAGCCGGGCCGGGCGGGACGCGACTCCCGCTGACATCAGCCGGGCCGGGCCCCCCGCCCCGGCCCCGCCGATGCTCCCGCGCCGCCGCCGCCGCCGCAGCCGCGTCCGCCCGGCCGAGCCGAGCGCGGGGAGCCGGGCCGGGGCGGGCCGCGGGCAGCGCCGGGCCCGGAGCCCCTGAAAGCCGCCGGGGGGGCGGCTCGGAGCCGCAGAACGGGATGCCGGAGGGAGCGGAGCCAGGTGAGGCCGGGGAGCGGGAGGATGAGGAGGGAGCGGGAGAATGAGGAGGGAGCGGGAGGATGAGGAGGGAGCCGGGAAGATGAGGAAGGAACGGGAGAATGAGAAGGGAGCGGGAGAATGAGGAGGGAGCCGGGAGGATGAGGACGGAGCTGGAGGATGAGGAGGGAGCCGGGAGGATGAAGGACGCAGCCGGAGGATGAGGAGGGAGTTGGGAAGATGAGGAAGGAGCCGAGAAGATGAGGAAGGAGTCGAGAAGATGAGGAAGGAGCCGGGAGGATGAGGAGGGAGCGGGAGGATGAAGGACGCAGCCGGAGGATGAGGAGGGAGCCGGGAAGATGAGGAAGGAGCCGGGAAGATGAGGAAGGAGCCGGGAGGATGAGGAAGGAGCCGGGAGGATGAGGAGGGCGCGGGAAGAATGGAAGCGCGGGGAGGGGGGTGCGGGATGCAGCCCGAGGATGGGATGAGGATGGAGCGGGGGGGATGAAGGACGGAGCCGGAAGGATGAAGGACGGAGCGGAAAGGAGGGAGCAGGAGGATGAGGATGGAACAGGAGGATGGAGCGGGTGGGATGAAGGACGGAGCAGGGAGGATGAGGATGGAGCGGGGGATGAAGGACGGAGCAGGGAGGATGAGGATGGAGCGGGGGATGAAGGACGGAGCAGGGAGGGCTGCAGGAAGGGAGGATGAGGATGGAGCAGGGGGAAGGCGGATCGAGGTGGGGGATGAAGGACAGAAGGTCAATGATGGAGCCGGAGGATGAGGATGGAGCGGGGGATGAAGGACGGAGCGGAGGATGAGGATGGAGCGGGGTATGAAGAACGCAGCCGGAGGATGAGGATGGAGCAGGGGGATGAAGGACGGAGCGGAGGATGAGGATGGAGCGGGGGATGAAGGACGGAGCGGAGGATGAGGATGGAGCGGGGGATGAAGGACGCAGCGGAGGATGAGGATGGAGCGGGGGGAGCGGCCCGGCCGCGGCTCTCGGCAGCCGCCACCGCCCGGGCCGCGGGCCTGGCACAGCCGGGGGGCTCCGGCCCGGCCCCGGGGGGCACGGGGCACTTCGGGGACATCGCCTGGGGTCACCGCCGCCACCCCGGGACCCAGCGGGGGTCGGCATCGGGCTGTGCCCCCCCCGCACTGAGGGGCTGAGCCTCGCCCCCCCCCGCAGCACCATCCCAGCCCCGTGGGGGGAAACTGAGGCACGGCCCAAGGTCACCCCACGGCGGCGTCCGCGGGGCCCTGTCACGCGTGGGGGGGGCTGGGGACAGCGGGGAGGAGTCACCGGGGCCCCCCGAGCTGAGGCTGGGGGTCCCCAGGAGAGGGGCGAGGGGGGTCGGGGTGTGCCCCGGGTGTACACAGGGGACCCCAAAACAGCGCCCGGGGCGCGCTGATGAACGGGGTCCCGGCAGCCCCCCCTCCGAACGGGGCAGAGTCACCCCAAAACGGCACCGGGGGTGTCGGTGGGACACGACCCCCCCCAGTGAGCCTTTCGGGGGTCCCCAGCACGTGGCGGGGGGGTTGTGCCGGACGGAACCATTTCCGAGCGGGGGGGGGGCGCGGGCCCGCCCCCTCCCGGCTCCCCCCGCGCCGCCCCGCCCCCCCCCCCGTTATAACGCCGGGGGGGGGGGGGGGGGCCGAGGCTGCACGAGGGGCCGGGGGCGCCGCGGGACCCCCGCCCGCCCATGGAGCCGAGCCCGGGCGCCGCAGGGAGCGGCCCAGGTGAGGGGGGGGCGCGGGGCTTTTGGGGGAGCGGTGGGCGCGGCGGGGCTGCGGACCCCCCCCAAACTGAGAGCACGGTGGGGAGGGGGCTGTGAGCGGGNGGGAGGAGTCACCGGGGCCCCCCGAGCTGAGGCTGGGGGTCCCCAGGAGAGGGGCGAGGGGGGTCGGGGTGTGCCCCGGGTGTACACAGGGGACCCCAAAACAGCGCCCGGGGCGCGCGGCAGCCGCGGCCGGGCCGGGACGCGCTGATGAACGGGGTCCCGGCAGCCCCCCCTCGAACGGGGCAGAGTCACCCCAAAACGGCACCGGGGGTGTCGGAGGGACACGACCCCCCCCCCCAGTGAGCCTTTCGGGGGTCCCCAGCACGTGGCGGGGGGGTTGTGCCGGACGGAACCATTTCCGAGCGGGGGGGGGAGCGCGGGCCCGCCCCCTCCCGGCTCCCCCCGCGCCGCCCCGCCCCCCGCCCCGTTATAACGCCCGGGGGGGGGCGGGGGGGCCCGAGGCTGCACGAGGGGCCGGGGGCGCCGCGGGACCCCCGCCCGCCCATGGAGCCGAGCCCGGGCGCCGCAGGGAGCGGCCCAGGTGAGGGGGGGGCGCGGGGCTTTTGGGGGAGCGGTGGGCGCGGCGGGGCTGCGGACCCCCCCCAAACTGAGAGCACGGTGGGGAGGGGGCTGTGAGCGGGGACGTGCCCGCCGCCCCCCACCCCGGGGTTCGGGGCTGGGGTCCCGCCTTGGTGCCCCCAAACCTCCCGGGACCCTCCCGCAGCTGCTCGGGGTGGGGTCACCCTGTTCCCCCCACCCTGCCTGGTGAGGGGGGCGCCGGCCCGGCCCCGGTGCTGCCCTGGGGGTCCCCGGTCCACGCTCACGGGATGGCCCCGGGGACTGCGGCACTCGGGGTGTCCCCCCTCCCCACGGTGACCCCGGGGTGGGGGCTGCGGCACTCAGGGGTGTCCCCCCTCTCCACGGTGACCCCGGGGTGGGGGCTGCGGCACTCGGGGTGTCCCCCCTCCCCACGGTGACCCCGGGGTGGGGGCTGCGGCACTCAGGGGTGTCCCCTCTCTCCGCAGCCCCCTCGCCGATGCCCGCGCCCCCCCCGCCGATGCCGGCCAAGGACGAGGCTCGCCCCCCGCCCGAGGGGGCCAGCTGCGAGCCCGGCGCCGCCGCCGCCGCCGCTCCCGGTTCTCCGTGCCGGCCGCCGCCGGGCGCGGAGCCGCTGGACGCGCGCATCGTGATGGGCGAGGAGACGCGCAGCCCCCCGGCCGAGCCCCGCGCCGCGCCCCCCGTGCCTTGCCCCTTCCCCGCGCCCCCCAAGGAGCCGCCCCCGGGCCGCGGCCCGCCGCCGGAGCCCGAGCCGTTCTTCACCGCCCCCTCCACGCCGGTGCGGGCGGGGGGCGCGCGGCCGCCGCCCCCCGAGGAGCCGG